AGGTCCCTGGTTCGATCCCGGGTTTCGGCAGCTCTCTCTCTTTTCCCGCCGGGCATCGGGCTGCGAAGTGCCCGCTCAGCCAGCGCCGGACAAGGCATCAAAACGCGGCTCCGGTTCATTTTAATCTCCCAGCAACAACCACGGCCAGGTACGGAGCAAAGGAAGCTGCTGTAGTTAAACAGGACAAGTCCAACAGGCAGCTTACGCTCAGCAGAGGTGAGAACTTCTAATAAAGCACAGAACAGACACATTTGCTTTCTTGTACTCACCCCAATGAATTTAACAGCATTTGGCACTTGCAGCACAATAGTGCAGTCTTATCAGATGCACAAAAATAATCCCCACCTAGTGTGAAATGGGGGTGGAAACATCTGGCCACGCAACCACAGCAGCAGCTCGCTGCTTGGCAGAACCGAACCAAATCAAATTAACAAGTCTTTAATGATTCACTTCATCAACCTTTAATTGATATACAACACAATCCTGTACATCCCAACACTGAGTCTGGTCCCGAGGTGCAAACAGCGCTGTCAGGAACCTGTAATACCTCGTTTGAAGGTGGTTTTTAAAGATATAAACAGCTGAGAGTGCTCCAAGTCGTGTTTACGCTCTTAGTCAGCCTTTGGCACAACAGAGTTTGATTTCTGAAAGGAGAACTTGTCCACATGGAATCAAACTGGGATAGTGAAAGGTGTGAAAAGGGCTGAGATGAAGGTGAGGTGATGGGGAGCTCTGCTGCCACGCAGGGGGCTGGAGAATGACCTTAGAAGTACTTCAGGAAGTTCAGTTGGGAAGTGCACACAGGATCACGTTTTGAAGGAGGGGGAACCTGAGGATACACTGAAGGCCAAGTCACCTATAGTTCAGGCACTCAGTAATGGCCCTTTGACAACATAAGGATTCCAAATGCATAATAAAACTCATGATAAAGTAATTAAAAGTAAAATTAAAATATATGTTCAAGATAGTAACTATAGCCAGAATACACATCTGTATCCCAATTTACATTTAAACTTCTGAATTCCAAACCACCTTAGTTTCTCTTGAAGAAGCAGATCATATTTTCATTCTAAGATAGAAAGACTAGTCACTGGGGTTTTATCATTAAGCAGTTGTCAATAACACTGCAAGTCTGTCAAAGGCAATTTGCAATATGCCCGACCCCCTGCAAAAAGCTGGGAACTACACGATGGAATTTGGAATTTAAATCAGATAACAACAAATAACTCTTCCTAAAATTATGGCCTCAAAAAGCAATAAACCAGCATTCAAAATAGCTTTACTTTTACATGGAGAGGTGAATGGGATTTGTTCTTTAAAGCAAACACTGGGTTCTTTTCCCACTGGATTTTACAGGCATCCCATCAATAAAAACAAAGCCTTTCTTATTCTGCTTGAAACACTTGCTACCAAGTTTATTTCCTCATGCTTCGAGACATGTAAAGCAGGAACAGTCAACCCACTGGGAATGTGTTCAGACAGAAAACCCGCAGACATTCAGTAGTGGTAAAGTCATCCAGCAATACATGGCTACATCCTCCACCAGTCTGTGTTAGTCAAAGACAACAGTCCTCCCGTTGTCAGCTATTTGGCCAAAATAATTCCTACAAAACTCAGCATTCTATCAAGAAGCTCTGCAAAACACCTGCAGTTCCACGTTAAGGATGCCGAACGCATGAGGATCGAGGCAGCCACACACCCGCAGCGCTCCCAACGCCCGTTGCATTGTCTTTCACAGGCTGTTCAACACGGCAAGAGCAGCTCCAGGGCGCAGAATGAGGAGCAAGGACTGAACACAGGACTGCACTTGAGAGCAGTGCAATGGCTACCTCTTTCAGAGATACACAAATAGCTTTTGAAAAGAAATAATTACACATTATTTATACAAATAAGCACTTCATTACACACTCAGTGCCCGGGGAACTGAGGAAAGGTTGTGCTGCTGTTCAGACACCGTCTGCAAGTGCTAGTTTGGTCTTCCACTTCTTTCTTTCTATAATTTCTTCATCAAATATTTCTCTCTCCCTGAGAAGAAATACAAAGCTCTGTAGTAAAAATAACCTCAACATATGAAACTGTTTGCAGTGTGTTACTGCGACACAGCAAGAACATTTCCCATGTATAATCATTTTGTTACTTAAGACAATAAGAATACAGGAGGGAGGATCCTGAACTCTCCTGCTCTTACACTCTTTTCCATATAAACAGTAAAGTAGTAAGAAAAATTCAGAGCATACTAAAAATAAAAGCTACCTTTTGCTCACAGATGGTCCTTTGATGTACTTCTCTTCTGCCTTCTTGTAATCTATATCATCCACAGCAGAAATTGCATAAATTATGGCCTAGAAAAGTAATTGGTTCCAAATCACTGTTTGTAGCTTAGGTTTTATTTCATGAGTACGAATGAACTGTCTCAGTCAATGAGGGACCTTATTCTAAAAATCAATCACTTAGGAAATGTGGATAAAACCTGAAGTTCTTAAATAATACAAACTCGTCCTTTATCATTCCCAGAAGAGTATTTTAAAACCAGATTATGATACTCTTCACAGTAATTTTGTTTCTACAGAGGTTACTAATGTTGTGCTGGGAAAATTCCTAGGAAGGACATTAAATATCTAAAAGTATACCTGTAAAAACCAACCCACCACCTCCCAGCACAAAGAACCCAAGAAACCACAGCGATAACTTGCCAAATTAATAAAAACCACCCCAAATCCAAAGATCTGAAGAGTTTCAGAAGGAATCAAATAGACTTGAAAGCAATCATTCTGCCTTTAAAAAACACCACGCTACCTAAAGCTTCTCCATTTTGTGCTGACAGCTTAACAGCCCATAAACATAACTTTGGACTGCATGGAACTGAATAGTCTTTGCCCAAGATATAGAGAGAAACTAGTTTCACGCCCCTCGAGCTGCACAGACCGTGCAGGTGTGAACATACCTGCTCAGCTCAACCACCACTCAGCTCCCAGGTAACACTCTGCAAGCCACTGAACTCAAATCACAAAACACTTAATGTCATTTCCTTACTTTAACGTGTAGTTTCTCAATGTTTCTTGTTTACTTACTTCAGGCAAAAGGACATCTGAAATAAATTTTATTCCATCTCCACTGATGTGATGCAGATGTTTAGCCTCTATTTCATGATATACTTCCTTCAAGTAGTTCACTACGAGGTCCAATTGTTCTTCATCCTCCAAGTATGTTTCAACACAGGTCACGTACTGTCTTGAATTCAGGAATCCCTTCAGCCACCGGGACTGTTTTCTGCTTTTCAAAATAGCCAAAAGATGCTCTTCAGCCCCCTTAGTCTTCACTATAAACTCCACTATCTTTTTATTTGCCTTATCTCTAGCAGCTCTTGTCCTGTCAGGAAGAAGTTTCCTGGATGGCTTCTGAAGTGATGTTTCTGATGAAGACTCTTCAGCGTCTTCCCCTGCCGCATTTGGAAAGGTCATTTGGACTGAACCTTGATAACTTTTCTTTCTAACTGGGTAGCCTGAAAGGAAAGCCATAATCATTCATACTTAAATACACAAAGCAAGAGGCTTCCCTGCATACATACTTACATACACAAACTTAAGATAAGAGACTTTCTTGATAAGATTTGGTTTTCCTCCCTTAGCAAAGAGGGTAAAAAAACCACCACCAAAAAAAAAATTAAGATTTTGCCTTAAGAAAAATTAGGGAGTTGAAGCTCTGACTGGAGCTCTAAAATTAACTCTCTACAAGGTGAAGTGAGTGGTTTCCCCAGTTGTCTTAATCAATATTTAACTTCTGTTGTGGTTCGGAAAACCATTAGAGTGCAATAATGGTGAGTGAGAATTCTACCAGTACTTCCCCACTGGGTCTAAAGCCTCACTCAAAACGTGTGTAAACACTAGAGCTAAACTTGCCTCCTGAGAGAAGAATGTAACAGATAACGGGTTCACTTACTGATATCATCAGCAAAATATTCCAAGAAGGATCCCGTAAAAGAATGACAACCTGAAAATCCCAAAACAGAGTTATTTATCAGTTCAATTAAGCCTGTGAAACGAAGCTGACAGTTTTGGTGTTATCTTTTTTCTGACGTGTATCAGAATGAATGACATCTCCTTACCTACTCTAATCCGATAGTCAGAAATCAGTCGAATACACCACTCAATTTCCTGGCGATAATCTTCTTTGGCTCGTTCCTGTCAAACAAGAGCTCTTTACAGTCCTAAAAGGAGTAGCCTATTGAAGCTCTTAGTCTAGGACACTAACCAGGTAACAGAATTGGCTAATGATAATGAATCAAAGTTTACTTGCAGTTTCTGCATTCTCCTGAAATTCAACTTCTGCCAGTGCTTTGTCACCCAGCGCGAGTGGCTTTGTGGTACGTGGAAAAACCACAAGTGAAAAGAGTCCCAAGCAACTGCCTGCCTTCCACAGGTATTCTGCACAGCAGCCCCACTGAGATGGAAAAGGGTGTCAGGGGACCCCCTTCCTGTGTTATTCTCCATCTTGTGGAGCATGAATTGCATTTAATTACATCACTGAATACAGCGGAAGAGAAGACACAAGCATGAACAGCCACAGATCAGCCAGCTGCACCACACTCCCCGCACAGGGTCAGTTACACACTGTGATACCACTTTATATGTTCCAACACAAGCACAGACTTGCAGTTCCATGTTACTGGTAACACTTACTATGAGGTCCTGCTTTTCTTCACAATCAAAGTGCTTCAGACTCCTAAGAGATACTGAGAAACTGGATGACACAAAGAAATGCAGTTAGGGAGAAGGGGCAGTTCAGTTGCACCTCTATATTTACTGCAATTCTACACCTCCCTGAAAAGTAGATCTCACAAGGAATTCAGAAATGCAGGACTTGTTAGTTTGGGTTTTGGTAATAAGCTAAAACTATGGAATCTTTAACAACTGAGAGGTACCTGGTTTTAAGACAAAACTAAAGGCAGGCTGGTGTCTCCAGGAAGTTTGGGAACCACAAGTAAAAATCACTATCTGGGTCCTCAGCCCTTCTTTTATTCCTCACATGAGCATCAGCTGCTCACATGATGCCAGCTTATCTCAACCAGCAGCCTGCAAAGGACATAGTCCACACCTGCAAATCCTCACCTTACTTGGTCCCTCCCTCCAAGATCAACCTTCATTTTAATTAACAGAGCAATTGCCCTGTGCCAGGAAAAGAGTACAGGGCACTAAAAGAAACTGGAAGTTCGGAATGTGCTCAGAATCCACACCACTTACCCTTTTTTCTTGTCATTTGTACTCCCGTCTATTAACAGCACACAGGCCTTTTTGTGTTTCCGCTTCACAGTTTTTACCTGTTGAAAGGATGAAGTCTCATTAGCATCCTAAAACCCTAATACCCCTCCAAAGCAGGAACATCTTCCACCTAGATTCTACACTTCACCCCATACTTAAAGGAAGTGAAACAAATTTGAAAAAGTAAGTTTTAAAGTGGCAAGAATAGCAAGTTACCCCAGTGAGGCATTTTTGTTAGTGCACAAGGACCCATCCTCTTTCTTTCCTTAACTGGGTATGACCACCCTACCTCATGACACAAGATTCAAAGGCTCAGTAATACTGCTCTGCTCTTACACACCCAGAAGTGAATCAACCACATTTATTTTTTACATGCTTTTGTCAGACATAAATTTACTTCTCTTCGCTTTGGAACAATTCCGCTGGAAGATCTTTAACATTTCCAGCTCTACACAAGTCAAGAAGGGCAAAAGACACTCAAGAACTCAAGCTCCACATCAGGACCTCTGCAATATCCCTCTAAGAAGGCAGTGAGCTGTTCTTACCACTGCTGGCCAATACGGGTACCTTCGCAATCTGCACCAGACCAAAATCCCTTCTTCAATTGATTGTGGTTCTATGATGAAAAATAAAGTAAGTTTACTTCAGAACATGAGAAGACAGTTAGCTTGTCCTCTCTCATCAGCCTCCTTTAAGGAGTTTGGCTTCAATGCTTTTAGAGTTTTCAACCCCATGACCCCCAAAAATGCAGCCCAAGAAGTTCGGAATACAGGAACTAGGAGACTTCACTCCTTTCACAGCCTTGCCCAGTTTGCACAACAATTTGCATTTCATTCTGTTTCAAAAAGCTTCCCTGGGGCATCAAATAAATGCATTTTATTCCAAGCTTGAACAAAGCTGGAGTGAATTTCTGGGAAGGTTAGGTTTCATCACCATAGCTCATCAGCAAACTAGAAGCTAAAAGAGCACACCTATCGCAGGTGAAAAAGTCTCACAGAGGCACTCTGACATCTCACCTTGATGTGATAAAATACTAGGAAGTTCTTCATCCTCCTCCTCTTCATCTACGAGAGGTGAGAGGCAAGAGAGACTCTCTGAGGAAAGTATCTTTGAAGACAGGTCAGACGATTCCAGTTCTGCCAAGAGCAGCAAACACCAGAGGTCAGAAGCATGGAACAGAGATAAAAAGTATCATCAGCTTCAGCCCAGGTGAAACACAACCCTGTAAGTGCCCCTGCAGCCACAAGAGTCACTCACACCAGGGCCTGTCCCACCACTCCCATTCTCAATCCTCTGCCTAGGTAAAGGCCTAATAATCTGAATAAAAGATGAAAAAGGGGAATGAACAAGAGGCCTATTCCTTTATGTAGCATCATTTTATCTCTAAATGGAGAGCAGCAAAGAAAAAACTAAGCACAAAATCAGCAAGTCCTCTAGTGAAGGGTGAGAATTACTGCTAAATACAGGTGTCCAGTGCCAAACCCTAAACAGCTCCACACAGCCCTCAGTGCCACACCAGCATTTAGCTAGTGATAAAGCAATTGTGCTACCTCTGCTTCTCCAAAAGTTAAGCCAAAAGGAACCAAAACCAGGAATTCAAGAACTGCATTCACAAAAGTAATGCAACAGTCCAAGATGAGTCACAGTGATCCACAATCAAGCAGGATGAACCCTTCCACAAGGGACATACCCACCTTCATCCTCCTCAAAGTCAGGCAGCTGAAACGACTTGACTTTATTCATGACCACATCTGCAGTATTCTTACTTTCCTCCTCCTCACACTGCAAGGGGATGCTATCAGAAAGCATCCCATGATCAGAAGGCCCAGATGAAGATTCAGTGCAATTCCTGCATTTCCTTTTCCTGTAGGAGGATGCAGTGGTGCTGGTCTTTCGGTCTCCATTAACCTGTTTCAAACTCGCTGGCTTTTTCCTTCCATCTAAGTGCTTCGCCAGACTTTCACTGCTGATGCTTTCTTCCAAGTCATCCAAGGCACTTTTACAAGAGGAATCCAGTAATGTCCTTCTAAGCTGACTTCTGGTCTTGGCGCTTCTGACAGGTACCACTGTGCCAGATGTGCAGGGGATGGACTGAGCAGACCCCTCCTCAGCAAAGGGCTGTACCTGATCCTTGGGGGAATCACTCCCATATGACACAGGAGATCCTGCACCGCTTGGTTGTTTTCTTCCTTGCTTACTTTTTTCCTCCTTTGGTTTAGGGGAGACTTTATTTCCTGCTCTGGACTTTGTCAGCAATCTGGACTCAATGGGTTTCAGTCTTGGTAGTGATTCTGATTCTGGTACTTTGCAGTTTTGACTCTCCGAGTTCAGTGTGTTACACAAGTCCTCAGTATCACATCTGGAAAGGTTTGTTTCACTTCCATGTGCTTCAGCACTCTCCTCCAAAACAAAAGAACCTTTCCAGTTTGTTTTTTCTGTATCAGTCTTTAGGCTGGGGTTCTTTTTTTCTTCTCTTTTCCTCTTGGACGCCTGAGGGTCCAACTTTTCTTTAAAGAGTACTCGACAGCTACGTAAAGGGGTCTGTGAGAGAGATCCTGGATGGTTCTCCTGGAAGAACAGAGTACTCTTCCCGTTTTCTGAAGGTGTTATTTGTTTGGGTGAGCCATTTGGATTCAAAATATCCAGAGCAATTCTAAGAGACCGGCGATACTGCAGTTCTTCCACAGCCTCATCCAAACTATTCCTTTGATCTGATGAAGAACAACATGCTATAACCTTTATTCAAATCTAAGAGCCAAGAAGTTTCATTTATAGTCTTTTTTTGTTGTTTAAGATGCAACTTAACACTCAAATCATCTGTGAGTCTTACAGCAAAGTATGTAAGACACAAGAGGCAAGCCTCCAGTGCCTTACTTTAGGGGGAAGTACACACAAGTTTCTTCAGTGTTCTTCCCAACATGCTACACAAGGGAAGAGCAAAAGTAGCTGTGATTCTGTCTGTTTTCAAACTTTAAAGATGGAATGGAAAGGGGGAAAAAAAAAAAAAGAAAAATAAAACCCAAACCCACTCAGTAAATACATAAGTGTAATATAGAACTACTGTGTATGTTTACATTCAGAGTATATACAAGGCAACAAATATTGGGACATTTCCTCACCTAAGTTAGAGGCAATGTTCACTATATGCTCTTCCTTCAGTGGTTCAGCATGTGCACAGCTCACACTGATCCTAAAAACACAACAAAGCTGACCAAAAAAGTCACAGCACTAAACACTACTAAAAGCACGACACTACTTTCACCTGGCAATAAACTTGCAATATCTTCCTCCACCAAAAAAAGACACTTGTTAGAAGTAAAGGAAAAAGGACAAATATGTGAAGCACATCTGAGCTAACAGGCAGCATGCTGTTCACTGATGTTCCACAAGACACTATGGATAGCTCTCCAAAGGCAGTGGGCTTGGGGTTAGCCATCTAATCCCTCCGTAAATCAACAATCTCTCTTCACAGGTATCTTTAGATAGAGGAATTACTTCCTTTTAATGCAGCATACAAACATATAACAGTTAAACCAATACTTAACTGTTCTTTCAAACCAAGTATTTCAACTTCCAAAGAAACTGCCTTCGTAGCTCCAGTTTTACGCAAAACCTACATTAAAGAGAAAAGCCTGCATTTAAAATCCTTGGCCAAGTGTCCTGGGTTCAGCTGTAGCAATCATTTTTCTCCTTCTTAGTAGCCAATGCAGCACAGGGGGTTGGAATTAGATGATTTTAAGGTCCTTTCCAACCCAAACCATTCTGTGATTCTCTTTTTACTTAAAACTCTTACTAGCTACTCTGTTCCAACCATTTCTAAGTTATATCCACCAACCCTTCCTCATTTATACATCTGCTTTACCTTTGCTGGCCATAAACGCTTCTTCCAGGTGCAAAGAATATACTCTTGGTCTGTCATGACTGTGTTTCATGTAGCAAAGGAAAGTTCCAGTGTGCTCTGAAGACAAAGGGAATAAAAGTTACCCAAAACTTGGTCCATTTAGTTTCTTCCCTATGATTCGTTTTTTAGGAGATACAGGACCTAGATAGAACATATATTGTTACAATTATGTATTGGTTTACTGCTGAGATCATTATTACTTTGTATGCACCCTCCAAGGTTAAGGTCCAACATTGTATCTTTCCACAGCTCCGCAACACAAAGTGCCTTTACCGAATGTGTAAACAGACAAATAGTGCCACAAATCGATTCGCAAATGCTGCTGCGGGCCTGCGCATTCTGCCCTCCCCGGGGCCAAACGGCAGCGGCCGCTTCTCACATGCCCCCAGGTTACACCCCGCGGGGCCGGTTCTTACGGAGTTAACAATTACAACCTGCGCGAAACAGCCGCGGAGCCCGTGCGAGGCTCTCAGCCTTGACAGGCTTTAAGAAAGACCCATCGCGAACAAGACACCGGGTCCTGCGCGTACGAAGCC